CTCCTCCTCTAGTGGGCGTCGGGACAAGTGCTTCCTCGCGGAGGCGGAGTACGCCGAGCTAGTCGGCGACAAAGTCCAGACTCTCGAAGAGGAAGGTCTGGAGTGGTACGAAGATGGGAGGAGCCCACATCCCAGCAAGTGGGAGCGTGGGAAACTCCAACGAGCTGAAGCGAATGGTATCGCTTGAGCCCACCATACCAAAGATGGTGGAAAGGTGGGCCATCCGATGACCAAAAGCGTGAACGCACGTCGTCCTTCCCACGGACGGCACCAAGTGTCGGTGCGAAATATGACCAACAAGTAAATATTTGTAGTTTTGCCGTGCATTGTGATCGGATGTGGCCTAACACTCAATGACATAGGATTTATACTGGTTCAGGCAACATACCCTACATCCAGTTGAGGTCGGTCGGTGACTTTATTCATAAGCCTAGGTGCTCAAAGTTTACCGTGGGGTTACTAACGAGTAAGGAATGAGAAGGGGGTGTTAGAGGCCCGGTCGGACTCTGAGCCGAGTGTAAGAGAGTGAAGGATGCTCAAACATGCGCTAAGTATCGGAGCGTATGCTCTGTATGTCTGAGCTTATCAGCTGTTGAGAGCATGTAGACTATGCAGCTGTTGAACTCTAGAGCCATTGTGCTGTTGTCCTCAAGTCCTCGAGTCTTTAGGGCTTCGGGGGGTTCAAAGCTTCTGTCCTCCTGATAGGAAAAAGCGCATCCCCTTTTATAGTTGAAGGGGATGACCTTATAAGTCAGAGAGAAAGAGAGAGTTCATATGGGCGCTACCTAGTCTTGTTGCCCATGTCATCGGGTACGGGAATGGTCGTCGATGCCCATAATACTATTTATGTTCAGACGCGTCTGGCAGGCCCTACCATATTCGCCTGGTATGGCAAACGACGGCACCCACAATACTATTTATGCTCTGATGCGTCTAGCAGGCTCTACCGTGTTTGCCTGACATACCCCGATAGCACCGTCCTGTAGGTGCGTAGGGCATGGCAGGGTACGGTCCTCGGTATTGCGGTTGACTTGAGTGCCTTACCTTATCTGCTCCACCTGCTACCCGGGCCCATATCGAGCGGGCGTCCCCAGTCGGTCGCTCCTAGTCGTCCTTGACTGTGTCGGTCAGGAAAGAGCAGCGAGCAGAGGTCATGCCGTATTCTCGATTGGAGAAAGGGGGTCGGAGTCGGACTGCGGTCCCACCACGGCTAGGCCTTCCGGTCGCACCTCCAATCAGATCTCCTGGCCGGAGGTGTCGGCCGGGGACCGGATCATGGTCTTGACCTGTCATTGTGTATCTAGGCCGGCCCAGGCACGTGTTGTCGCTGCGCCGCCTATTGGGCCAAGTTTTGCAGGAAAGCGTGTCCATTGGGGACTCCGGGTTTATGAATCCGATTGATATAGAAAATGATTTTTTATGGGAATGACTCTCCAAATGATGATTTGGAGAGTGAGATTTAGAAAAACTCTTGGAGATGCTCTTAGACCAAGAATTAACATCCCGTTTGCCGTAAATATTCAGCTTAAAAAATTAGAATTAGTTTTGAGTTCAAAAAATTAGAATTAGTTTTGGTTAGCTCCAAATATTGATGGTTGGATGGTTAAGAATTTGGAACTAAAATTGTACCTTAATACCAAACATTACATTATAGTTGCAACCCTTCATCTTCGATATCGAGACATCCCCTTCGTATTGCTCAACATTCATAAGCCGCCCTGATGCTCCTTTGCTCAGACGCGCCTCCATCGCCGACGCGCCCCTTGAAGCGCACCATCACCCCCGACATTCCTTTGCCCCTGCATCTACCCTCGATGTTGCTCCACCACCACCAATGCAACGCCTCGTTCTTTCTCACCACCACAATGCAACGCCTCTTCTTCCTCACATCCGGCACCCCTCCCAAATTACAATATCCAATCCAATGCAGATCAACCAAACAGATTTTGTATTGTGCCCAATTTTAATACCAAGGCTGATTTGGTACCCGATTCAACTTCAACACCTCCAACATTCACATCCAAACAAACCTAGGAAATTTCGCTGATTTTTAGCAACTTGTCTCTTACCATGTGTTTAGCTACGGAGACTATAAAATAGGGGACATATTGATTCCTTTTATTTGGTGTTTAGTTTGGGGTGAACGAGGACATGACGGTCTCTAGAGGGAAATATTTTCTTCAAATGAGGGATGCCTTTGCTTGTGCATTGGGTTGACTCGTGCAACAGAGGCATCCCTCAAGTAGAATGTCACTCAAAAATAAGGGATGAGTATATTCCATCCCATCTTATCACAAGCCAAAAGCACATGCTTAATTTCTTGCTCATAACTTTCTCTCTATGTCGAGGCCCCAAGAGATCAGAACATTGTTTCAGGGTATCCAAAGTACACATTTGCAGGATGGTCCTATTTGGAACGTGTATGCGCACTTTTGAAATGGAAGACACCAAATTTAGCTTTATATTTTTCATTGCCGGTTGATGATTGCTAATAGTGTGTTTGGTTTGGTTTCTTCCTAACTGGTCTGGCCCACATCTAGAATGCAAGCCTCCGTTGACCAAGCTCAGGTTATGCAAAGGCATGGTTGTTCATATGCCGACGCTTAGAGCGTCTGCGCACAAGGATTGGCCGTTTGGTCTCCAGGTGGGGATGCAAGGTAAAAAAAAACAATTGGAAGCGCAGATATTTAGTTGACTGCAAACAACAAATCTAAAATGGACAATTAGAGGAATGATGTATCTAAGGCCCTCCATAGTGTGCGCTTCGAGTGGTGCTAAGAGAAGAGAGAGACGGTTACATCGGTATACGTAGTTGCATCGGTGTCAACCAATGCCTAGGAAATAAAATAATATCTCGTTGACCATCAGTTCACCTTAGCCGTCTCACATCTCACCTGTGCGCGTGTGTGGCTTGTTGTTTCTGTTTTTTTTCTCTTACTTGGTGGGTCCCTGCGGCTTGTGAAGAGCTATGCAAAAAGTTAGATGTAGGACCTTTTTTCTTAGCATACTGCTGTACTGCATCACAATGGAGGGCAGGTATACGGTAATACCCACTTCCACTCATCATGTTTGTGTACTTCCTGTGTTTTTAACTTAGAAAGGAAAAAAAAGGCAGGAGAAAGTTAAACACAGCAAACTAGGCGGTCGGACAGGCAGCTCGCACCGACGGCAGAGCTAGCAGTATGTCCGCAGTCCCCCCCAGTATAACTCCCTCCATAAGATGGTATTGAGATGACCTAATATTACTTTCTATATTTTTTTAGAAAATGCTGTAGCAATATCCCAATATATCTCCTTCAATACCCATATGAAAGTTAGATCCTATAAGAGTGTAAGAGAAAATATAGCTGAAAAGTGATAGTTGGGATGGTCCTCATAGTATTGGAGGAGTTGTATCTCTCCCTTTCTTTGAGGAAAGATGAGGGAAATATTGGTAGCTAAAAAAAATAAGAGGCTGCTGGAGAAAAATAAAGCATAGCTATCTCAATATGACAGTTTTATAGAGATAGGGGAGGTATTATGAACTGTTGGAGATTCTCTAAGGTCTCTATGAAAGGGCACGCCCAACTTTAGCTAACAGCATCGTATGCCTCAGCTGAATTCGTCTGTCCACGCATGCAAGCAAACACTAGAGACGTGTATCCCTCATCGCCGGCAGGGAGATGGATGTTTTTTTGTCAGAAGCTTTTGATAGTGCATGGAGTAGCCTTTCTTGCTTTCTATGCTCCCGAAGCAGCTACTTTCCCTCAACGCGTTCTTCACCGGTGGCTTCTGTTTTTTGTCAGTTGAGACTATCGGCTCCTCTGCAGGAGACTATGAACAACCACGAGACCACCACTCTTGGTGACATGGAGCCTGGACGTCTACATAAATGCTGGGGCAGTACGCTACCGCGTTGCATTGGGGAAGCCCTAAGAGAATGTATCAAAATATTTGCTCAGATGCATAGCAGTCAGAAAATACGTAATTTTAGAATGGATGAAAGTACTAGCACTGTGTGGCCTGGACAAACATCTTCTTGCATTATTGAGCTCTTGCTCAACAAATCATAATTACTTTGGTTGTTAACTAACAAAGCTCTCTCTAGAAGAACCTAATGTTGTAATTACTCCAATGGTTAATTAACAGATCTCGCTAATTCAGGGCTTGACGGCGAGTTTAGTCACAGAAGATCCAGGGTGAGGACTGAGGAGACGTGGCCCTAACTCTGCGACTGCGACTGCGACATCAACGCCTTTTGTCAGAGCATCTTTTATTAGCATGATCGTTTAGTCGTGTTTGACTTATAAGTCATAGCTAAAAATACTGTTAACTAATTTAATATTAAAAAAAAATATTATTCGTTAGCTAAAAACAAGTAAAAAACAAACCAACAAACCTAAATAAACTGGGCGCATTACGTTGATGTTTTTGGTTGAACGACCGAACGCACGAGCCGACTAGGCAAACCACCATTTAAGCCGCCCCCTGTGGCTATAACAACTTGAAAAGAGTGTTTAGCCACGCATTGACAACCGGAAGGACGCAAGCGCACGAGAGATGGTTGCCAATTCACATTCTGTGTGCTTTAAGCCTCGTTTAGATTACAAGTTTTTTCACTCTCTCTCCATCACATCAAATCTTTGATACATACATGGAGTATTAAATATAGATAAAAAAAATAACTAATTATACAGTTTGATTATAAATTACGAGACGAATCTTTTAAGTCTAGTTAGGTCATGATTGGACAATAATTATCAAATATAAACAAAAACACTACCATGCCAAATACTGATTTCTAACCAGATCTAAACAAGGCCTTATATACTCAAATCAAATGTCATCAGCGCTCCAGCTGGGAATTCCTCCTGTTTGCACCAACTCAAATAGTGCAGCCACTGCACAGCTTCCTCCTCCCCAAGGCACTCTCTCTCCACCATAGGTCAACAAGAAAGCAGGCACGCTCTCGTGCTCACGCCCTGGCCACACGAGAGCAGGTCTGCCGGTGTGCGTAAGACATGATGAACACGTACATGTCTCTCTCCTTGGAGCGCAGCAGCAGCAGCGTGGTCCGCGACGTCGCCACGCCCGCGCCTCTGGCCAGCGGTGCCAGTGCCTCGTCGTATCCACGCGCGGGCGCGGGTGGGGGCATGCTGGGCACGTCGCTCTCCCTGGCCAGCGCCGCGGCGGCGGCGCACGGGCACGGCCAGTACCTCCCCCTCAACGAGGACGACTCCCTGGACATGGTCCTCTTCGACGTGCTCCGCGAGGCATCCGGCTCCGCTGCGGCGCCCGCCACCTACCAGCCGCCGGCCTCGTCGCTGCCTACGCTGAAGGCGGCGCTCGCTTCTGGCGCCGCGCGCAAGGGCGGCGGCGGCGGTGGCAACAGCAGGGCCGCGCACGCACCGAAGGCGACCACAACGGGGCGGCACTACCGCGGGGTGAGGCGGCGGCCATGGGGCAAGTACGCCGCGGAGATCCGTGACCCGGCGCGGCACGGGGCGCGGCTCTGGCTCGGCACCTTCGCCACGGCCGAGGAGGCCGCCGCGGCGTACGACCGCGCCGCGTTCCGCATGCGGGGCGCCAAGGCGCTGCTCAACTTCCCGCCGGCGGTCGCGGGCTGCTGGGGTGACGGAAGCCAAGTGAATGGCGAATGCGATCTCAAGGAAAACGGGTCGTTGGCAGCTGATGACCCGCCTGATAATGAATGTTTCTAAGCATTAGTCAGTCCGTTGAGCAGAGTGGCATGCTAGCGTAGCGATCGCTCTCCTCGTTGTAAGGACATGCCGTGAACTGTGACGGGTTGAATTTGAGGGGATAAGATAGCCACACTGTTTCCTTTTGTATTTTGAGATCCTTCAACATTTGGTTTTCGGGGCGAACGTGCACGATCTTATTTTTGGATATATTTATTATTAATAATCGTGAATATATAGAAAGGCCAAGATGAAAACATGAATGCTTAGTTTAATGAAGATTTCTCAGTGTGAACAAATGCTGAGTACAGAATCAGCCAACCAAACCAAATTCGAAGTGGTTGCATTCTTACCCGGATTTTAAGAACCGAACCGGATTCCAATAGGATGCAATGCCAACTAAACACGCATGTTGGGGCTCCTGAGTCCTGACCCCTGAATGTTCGCTCACGGAATCACGGATAATTTGGTGCGTCGAGAAAGAAACATCTGACGTGGTGCCTCGAGATGCCCGTGTAACTCTAGCATCTTTCTTTAAACCAAAACAAAAATTCAAAAACATTTTTTATAGAACATTCGCCGTCCCATGGCCCACCGTCTGCGTGACCTCAGGAGTGACGTCATCGTACCACTGGCAATGTGGGAATCCATGCTTCACCCACTTTGACAGGATTTTCTTTTTGAAAAATCTTTGACAGGAAATTTCAGTCCTACCAGTTTCCACCTTCCCATTGCCCAATGTCAGGTCGACAACAGAACGAACCGTCCATACAATCATTGGCGGATCGGGGGGGCTGCAGCCCCCTCGTGAGCCTTAATTCCTCGTTAAATTACTGTAGCATCAAGCATAAATCATCATTAAATCTTCATTATCAATCAACATGTCCATTACTTAGCCCCATACTTGATCCCATCCTAAATCCGCCACTGCATACAATAACAAAGACATGCAGACTAGTACACCAGAATTCACCACCAAATTTCGTGGGGTATTTAGAGGATTTACCTCTCCATTCTTCAGCACAGCAGAAATCTCGATATGCGTTTCATTAAGAGTAACTCCAGCAGACCTCTACTTGAGCTCTCATAGCTAATATGGATGCCTAGGTCAAAACCCCAGCTCCGGTAGGGCCCTTGCCACCGCAGAAGTTGTACAATCTGCCTTGACACCGCAGAAGCTGAAGAAAATCAGAAACGGAGATAAAAATTGTGGTTCATTAATACTTTCGAAGCCTTCGAAGTCCCACTATGCCATCTAGTCACACTCCCTGACTCCTGTTCCATCCAGGAAATTCTAACCGTAGAAGAGTCCGCACCTACCGGATGACCATGGGCACTTAATGGAGTTAATGCACCAGAGCACATGCCTGAAATCTGTTTACGATACCATGATGTAGACCTGATACCACTTCAGAACAGGAAGCTTAAAAATAACCAGTTGCTTGTTGCCTTGCTACTTCAGTTGTGGATGAATCGCATGCATGGAACCCTGACCACATTGGTCGAACAAAAGATTCCTTAGCTTCTGATTATCCCATCAAATTCCGGCATGCAGTGTTTTGATGTTTATCCATATAAAGCACTGTTAAAGCTGCGATCATACTAGGAGATAGGAAATTTGATGACAAGCCTGAGTAGCCAATCTCTTCCCTTAATAAAGTATCCCGTTTCTTGATGGGTTCATAGAGAACCTTGAATACTTGGTCAGCCCAACAAGCCCAAACGAACAGGGCGCAATTTGCATCTAGCGGACTTGATCTTTGGAAATAACCTCACTGGTCCAATCAAATGGGATAGATACCATGAGGTCCAATTCACATCGTAAAATGAAAATAAAATATTGCTAAAAAATGGAAACACAATGTAGTCAAGGCAACAAGCAACTGGCCTGAATGTATGACAGGCCTGCTATGGAAGAGGCAATTGTAGTAACAAGCAATAAAGTCAAGGAGCTGAGACACCTGAATGTATGACAGACTTGCTATGGGCAGACCCAGTGCTGGAGGCTCCCACATGAGTGGGGTCTGGGGAAGGGAAAAACCGAGGCAAGCCTCCCCCCCCAAAGAAAATACTAACCGGGAGATCTTTTCATGTTATTTTCTAAAAATGATGTTCTTTCGATGCTACAAAACCATTTTCTTCTTATTGATCTATACCCATTCATACACAAAACCTGTTTGTTCTATGACATGACTTATAAAAAAAGATGATTTAAGAAAAATAGTTCTGACATACAAAAAATGGAAACTATAATCACTCCAATAAGGAAGCTTAACAAAAGGTAACATACCAATTGTTATTCATTTTCATAAGCGATTGGGTCATAATTAATGTCAAATCCCACATTAACTTCGTAGCAAAAAACCAGAAAAAATTACGATTCCTATCCCACATTTGTATCCTTCTATAATAGGTGGTACTCTATGTTAGACCATGGGTGCAGAAAAGAAGGCAAAGCAACCCTCAAACTCTCAACCTCTAATTATTGCATATTCCAATTCACTAGAGGAAGTGCATATCAATAGGTTCAGCAACTTTAGCGAGCAATTCAGTGAAGGCCCTTGATTGTGATTATTTTGGATAGTAAGATGCTCCTCTTGTACCTCTAGATTTTTTTTTTTTTGTCAAGGTTAGAAACATGTTACCTTAATTTTGCAGCTAGATTCTTAGCTGTACAAGCCCGAAAAAGGATCTCAGGCACAACGGGAGAATTCAAGAGAATGTTGGGCAGAGAAATAAAGTTTATCTTTTTCCTCAAGTGGATAAAGCATTCTGTAATGAAATGAGCTTGGTAAGCTACCACATAGGGTAGTCTTGCTAACATTAGTTCCATAACAGCTGTACCTGAAGTACATAATGCTGCTCTACTAGCCTGCAAAAGGAAGCATTACCTTCTTAGTTCACTCAAGGGATGCTGAAAGTGCAATCAAATTTGCAGTAGCATCTAGCAATTAACTGCAACAACAAAGTTACATGATGACAGTTTGCACAGGCAGACCTGGCTGCTTAAGTTACAGACACTAAAAGTTAAACCGTGAACCAGGAATTTCTCATTAGCTCTATTTGTTATACTTTACTTGATTGGGTTGAGATGTAACAGATGCTAATGAGGATTAGATAATCTATAATCATACCAACATGTGTACTCCACACATCTCAAGTAGGTCTGAACTAATTGATTGTGAGATACTATCTGGCCGTTTCGGTTCCAACTTCCAAGAGCTATTACTTAATAGCAGCATGTGTATCTTTGAATATGTTGCGATTAACGAACCAATGATCTAACTGGTTGTGGTAAAAAACACACATCTACTTAATTGACAAAGATTCAGGATAATGTGCTGAGCCTTCTGTCCACATTGACAAAAGTAACCGCTATCCATGACATGTCAACAACAAACTGTTCTCAGAGAGCCACTGATAATAACCAGCTCTACAACTATAATTAATTTGCTGACATAAATTGACAAAAGATTCAGGTGCCATTTTGGAATGGCAGCGACACATCTTCCCCTGCTAAAAAAAGGGAGGCTGTGTTTATAGGAAATGGTAATCTGGCAAGAATACCAGGTAGAACCTTGTTCTCCACAATCAGCGCTCAAGCACCCCATTGAAACTGCATACCATCCCAGTGACAAAACACAAGGGTTGTCTCTTGTATAGAAAGAGGTTGACCTGTATATTACTTTCTGTCCATTATGCTGTTATACTTTCTTGTGATCCAGTGTCACAATAAAGCATCTGATCTTAATAACAGAAAATTTCATAAATCACCTAAGACAAAATGGACAGAAGCATGCACAATCCACTAACTGCACTAATCAACAGTTGTCTAAATTTCTCTTTAATTCCTGTGCAGCCAATAGAAATCAAACATGAAGCTTTTTGAGAATGACTGTGATAATCCAGAATTCAACTGTTACGAAGGTATGGTTATTCGAAAGATATTCACGTCAAACAAAAAATAAAGGATAAAAACTATGTGAAATATTATCGTCAGAATGAAATGGAGCTTGAGAATTAGACTTCAGATGTGAGCTCACACTGAATGCATCGTATCTTTCCTTAAGCGATCCCCCGGGTATCAACACCACTGGAAAAGGTCCTGACTGAACAACCTTTTCAATATAGGTCCTCACATCTCGATGTGGAGCAACTGGGATGACTAATGACAGTTCATTAAATGTTTGTCTTAAGTTCTGCACAGTATGCAAAAAGATTGGAAGCATTCGAACGACCTCCTGCATCCTACTTCCAGGCAACATGGTTATGATTGTGGCACCTAGCAAGGGTGTATTTTTCATTAGAAAGTGGGCATGTATTGACCACACAATCAACAACTGGACATTAAGACTTAGTGCACTAAGACTAAGAAACATTGATACAACTCCATAGAGGTGAATACACAACGTCTTGATATGAACCATTATTGATGAACACATAATTCGATGGTTTTTGCGTCACTCAAAATATAATAATATATCTATCACGTTTGCACATAGAACATATAGCTGACTATCATCACCTTTGACTCCACAGTAGCATCAGTTGAAATAAATGGAGCCTTCATGATGGAATATGTAATTCATTTTTTCACATTTAGTTATATCTTTCACAATTGAGGTTGAAAATTAATATAAATGTGACCCACAAGATGTCTAGCTGATTCGAAAGCAGTACCAAACAAGTTATTTGGAACTGGCTCCAAAAACAGAACAATTCACAATGATTGCTCCAACAGAACAAATTTAAATAAACATTTTGTCAACACAGTAGCCTTGAATTTTAATCAAATTGATCAAGCTGCAATACCAACAAAATGGATTTTCATAGCTAAACAGACTAGCACTAACTGTAGAAAGTAAGTATGCATGCGATTACTGGCAGTTAGAAACAGCAAGAGTAGTTTACATATTTGAAGTTGCATCATTATCGGACAGCAAGCTTCAGATTAGCTACTGGAAAACAGTGTCTAGTTCCTTCCAAGGTAGTAAGGTTTAATTCCAAAAGACACTTCAGAA